TAGCAGTTAATTCCAGAATTCATAATTCAATGTGGCTTTTAGAATGTTTTTAATTTTATCAGATTAAATATAGAATAGGTAATATCTCCAGCAAAGTTTTCAGGGACGAAGAATTATCTGTATTATGTAATCTCATAATGTATTAACCCTTGCTGCTGCAACAAAATTGTCTTGCAGATTCTCAGTTTTGATTGGCTAAGGACAGGCCTGTTTCTTTAAAAATTTCTATTTTTGGGATGAAAAACTTAAAAAGTTAATTCTGGCCAGAAATTAGTAAATAATTATATAATGCAAGCCAAAAGTTTGCAGATCCATAGCTATTAGCCAATCAAAACCGTGAATCTAATGACAATTTTGTTGTGGCAGCAGGGTTAATACATTACGTGATTATGTAATACAGATAATTCTTTGTCTCTGGAAACTTTGCTGGAGGTGTTACTAATTTAATATGATTTAATCCATTATATATATATATTACAAATTTTATTTGTAAATTCTTTAATATAAAATTTTTTTTCGCCTACCACAATTTTGTGTTTATTCACTAAGGAAATTAATAAAATAAAATACTGCTTTTATTTAAGAATTTTAACCTCTCGCGAGTTTATTGTAAATTTACATGTCTCAATAAAAAAACCAACATTAAAAAAATATCTTAACCCAAAATATGGTTTATCAATCACAGACCTAAATTATCTGAACCCAAAACACGACTCTTTAATTCCAAAAATTCTTAGAAATAAAAAAGGTCGGTATTTGTAGAGAATTCCTTAGGTTAGCACAGCAAATGAAAAAACAAATATTACAAAAATTTTTTTCAACGTTAAATTTGCATATTACAGAAATATTCATATTATATCATTTTTGTATACATAAATTGTAAATTCTCGAAATCTTATCTTAACAGTACAGTAAAATATTTTTTCCCTTTAATTAAAGATTTTTAATCTTCGAGTTTATTATAATTTTTAAAATTCAAAGTAGAGAATCCCAAAGGCCCCTTTAAAACCCAACATTATTTATACCATTTCCAAGATTTTTTGATATATTAAAAGTAGTGATGGGCCACGCACAGAATGCGCAGATTTTTTTTTAGATCCTGCATGGGATTTTTAATGAGATTATTTGGCTTGCATTAGCATATAATCTGGCCTGTATTAACATATATTATCTGGTCTGCATTAATATATCATCTGGCCTGCATTAACATATCTTCTGGCCTGCATTAATATAAGTGGGCTATTTCTAAAAATATGTATGCAATTCTATGTAGAACTTTTTATTTTTTTATTATTCTACGAAATTATCTGAACTTGTGACTTCAAAATTTCGATGAAAAAAGATAAAATAGAGGATTGTTTCTTTCTGAATAAAGACAGCTATTTTACGACCATTAATGCTTTTCAGAGTTTGGAATTTGGGACTCCTTTATCAGAATTCTTTAGAAAAGTTAGTTAATTTAGGTCATTGATGAGCATTAAAAATAAAAGTCATGAAAATAATACAATTCATTAAAAACTCAGTTCATTCTCTGACAGCATCTTGCTGCCGTAGGAGAATGAAATGAGTAATAGAATATAATTGATGTGACTATTGATCACAATTCATGTCAAATACCAACTTAATGCGTCAAATTAGTTTACCATAGTGTTTATATTTTTCTAAGTTAACCGCCTACATTAAACATAATTTATGCCAAATTAAGCTTTAATGTAGGGCTTTATGTAGGGCTTTATGTAGACCAAAATATTAAACTACATTGTGAGACATTATTTTGAAATGTTATGATCGTGGAATAATTCTTTATTTACTTTCTTTAATCGTAGAATAATTCTTTATGTGCACATTATTGAATTAATCAAATTAAAAATTTTATTTCTAGCTTCATTTGGTTTGTCTGATGTTATGTAAACTATTTCTATCTTAAATTTTGTAAATTTTATGCTGAGGAATTATTAGTGTTTCTTTTTTTTTTGGTAAGTCTGTCCTATTCCTTTCACTCTTTCTTTTTTTCACCACTTTGATTTCGTTATTTGTTTTTTTCAATTAATTTTTTGATAATCTTGTAGTTGTCATTTTTTTGACGTTTAATAATTCTATATTAACAAGTTTAACCCACTCATCGCAATCACCTTCTATTTGAAAGTCAATTAAGCTATTCCATTCTTTAGTAACTACATCTGTAGCATTTACCAGTATCACATAACCATTATGGTTATGAACCGCTCTAGCAAAGTCTTTTATAAGAGCTTTAACTCCAGGAATTTTTAAAAAAGACCAATTATAATCAAACAATCAGCTTTATACTAATCTTGTGCTGTGATTTGATTAATTTCCAATCCTTTAGGATGTGAATCACCGTATAGGACTATTGTCGGATTTAGCTGTCCAATTGTATGAGGACACTTTCCTTGTTTGATCTAAACATTTTCTATTTATTAATGTAAAAAAAAATAATTAACCATTAAATCCACTAAAACTTAAAATATAATTAATAAAAAAAATTATGTACTTACCTCTTTCTTCACATTTAGTACATTTTGGTGCTTTACCTTGCTTGAAAATATCACAAAATTGCAGCGTAAAATCATAAATATTTGTGCAAATATTACGTCGTAACTTTGCAAGAGTTCCATGTAATTGAACTACTTGAGCTTTATTATTTTTAACTTTTTCAAATTGCCAATCTATGTGTAATCCTACTAGTTCCTCAAGATTATCTATATTTTGTGTATATACTCTTTTTAATTTTTCCATATCTGCCAATTTTTTTATAAATTTATGAGTTTCTGTGGGTGTAGCATTTAAAATACATTCTCTTAATACACCCATGAGATGATTAAATGCATTAATAGATCCATGGGTTGTAAGTAAGCAAGCATCAAATAAATCTTTGCCCATACGAAAGGTATCTGAATATTTGTGTTTTACCTTACTATAAAGGCCATCTGAACTTCTAAAATCCTATTGGTAATAGTTATAAAAATTTTTTTTTAAATTGCCATTTCAGTCGACGTTGACTTTATTTTAATAGTAATACTTTTGAGTTTTACTATTAAAATGGAGTTAATGGAACACTCCATGAACAACCCTACAAGAAATACATTACTTACAGTTATTCCACCACTACAAGAAATACTAGCCCCAGTAATTATAATACACTGTTTTGTATATGTTATGTACTCATTAATTTTATGGAGTAGAGTACAATTTTTTTCTGTTTAAAGATGTAATTTTACTGTATTTTGTAAACTGGATTTCTTTTTAGTCATTCTTTTGACACTATTTTATATATATTTTGAATATATTATTCTTGGCACATTAACGACTAATTTTTACTGACTTTAAGATTTAATTTCGCTGTTGTGAATTTGGGGTATCTTTTTATATCTTTACCAAGAATTCTTTTTAATCATTCTTTTGAGACACTACTTTATATATATTTTGA